CTCTGTGTTCTTCAAATCACCATCTAAAAACTAAAACTGAAACACTTCTCCTTCTGCCCAGCTATATGCTTTTCTAAATTGATTACAAGCCTTTTCCTGTGACTCCATAGTCCAGCTTCTAGCAGCTGGTCACATGGTAGGTCTGCTGAATTGAATCAGTTTGCTATAACTATACACCCACCTCAGGCTGCTTTCACCAAAGACAAGCATTAATTAAAAGTCACTCCATCTAATAAGAAACTTCTCTTTTGTAGAGAGGAACTAAGAACAGTCTGAAAGATAGAGGAAAATGTCAGAATTGTGAAACTGTATGACAAATGTTTTCTTCAAAAATGAGATATTGTCTGTTTCACATACAAGTACCTCCTTCCACCTTTCCATGTTATTCTTTCAGATCTATCCATATTTAATATCATCCATTTTCCTGTCTCCTTCTACATTCATGGCCAGTCTTTGCGAACGAAGATTTGGGAAAGGTCTTTACCATTCGAGCCTGCGCAGTGGATTTTTTAGGTGAGACACAGTGTGTGCTGAACTGAGCCCACCCTTTAATCCTGAGGTTCATCTGCCGGGGCCGAGCGAGCTTGGACGGTGGCAGCGAGGTCCTCAGGACGTAGGTTTGTTTAGAGTGACCTTCTCTTAGATGGATGGCCTTACAGGGCTGACGAGCTCCATCTGCCCGGAGGGGTTCCCTGACCGGGAATCAAACCCAAACCACAGCAGTGAGAGCATCACATCCTAACCACTAGACCACCAGGGGGCCCCCTGTCTGAAGATAGTACTGTGAGAAAGGCACATCTGTAATGTGCAGCAACAAACAAATCGAAATGTAAATATAAAAAATTCCACAAAGGTGTCCCAGATCTTATGAAGATCAGTACTCTTGGCTCTCAGGCAGTAACAGTGGCTTTTACAATAAAAACTAAATAAAATAAATAATATATGGTTTAATCTTGGCTACTATTTTCCTGAAATGACAAAATGCCAATTTTGTAAGTTTTGATGTGGATGATTCAGAGTTCTGCATATGGGTGAGAAGTAAGACTGTAAAAGGTAGTTTGAACATGAAAAGTTTACAATAAGTTTATAAAACTATTAGGAGAAAGGAAAAGAAAGCTGCAGGAAGGAAGAGGTGGGGAAAAAAATCACTCTGAAAATCCTGAGGCACATTAAAATTTGCAATACCCTTTTCAAAGATGATTCATGGCCATTATTAGGAATTATCCATATAGTTAATTCCCACATTTGCCAAAAAATTTTACAACATTTTCTTTTTAAGAACTAACAACATCAGGAATCAATTATAAGCTATAGCTCAAGTGACCTTATTTTTCCTTGTTGCGTGATACCAAAATGGGCCTGATTCTCCCTCCTCATCTGCACAGTTTCCCTTCTACACTGTCTATTAAAGCCAAGCTGCTGGACCAGCCAGCTGCAGGCTCCTCTGACTTAGAGACCTAGCAAAAACTCACTTCCTTTTTGGAATGAGTCCCTCTCACCTCTCTCATTTTAACAGTCCCAATGTAACCACAAGGTTATTCTCCACTCTCAAAACAAGATTTGGCCCTTTGACATTTGAGTCAGGCTAAGTAGTCCATTTGTCTTCAACAAGATTACCCCTTGATTATTTCCTTGGAAGGCAATTGATCAGTCAATACCAATGAATTCATTTAGACAAAGGATCTAGTATCCAAATGCATGTATTTAAAACTGAATGTTACATTTACCTTCAAGTTCTTAAATATTTTTAGTAATGAGTCCACAGAAGTGGATAGCTTATTAGGTGCCAACAGCTTCATTACAAAATATTAATCACCTTTATGGTTTCTTCATAATAGTGCCTGAAGTGAAACTGCTTTGAAATATGGACAGCAGAATTAAAAAAGACTGCTTTCCTACAGCTTTAGCTTTCACATTGGATTCTGCCAGGTCTACAAAAGCACTGAACTGACAGAAGAAATCAGGGCACTTCATACCATTGCTGCCACCTACAGATAATCTGGTAACTGATGAGGGTTGAGCTGACACTCGCTTTCCTAATGAGAACACTGATAGATAGGTGGGAAGGAGAGATGGAATGTATTTTCATGAAGCTCACAGAAATCAAGTAGCTTAAAGATTGATCTCCATTGCCAGCTTCTGTTGAAATTAATGAATGGCATCAAAAGTTGTTAGGGGATGGATGAACACCAAGAGATTACACTCTTACTCTCCTTTCCTAAAGAAACAAGGCTTGTAATGTTTAGTTTATTATCACATACACCTTTATTACCACTTATTACCTTTCAAATAGGTTCCACCTGTTTGATTATTATACATCATACTGAATTTCAAATTTTTCAAATTGTATTTACTTTAGGAGAAACTGAGAACCTTGTCAAATGAGTCTGACCTACTAACTCAAGGAACCTATTCAGCAAAAACAGCCAACTGTTGAATTCCTTACTCTGAGGAGTTGAATTCCCCTCAATAAAAATACTCAAGACATTGCGGACTGACTGTCCTGCAAATACTTGCAGTTTCCCCCTCAGCTCACAGAAACCTCAAAGATTACCACTTGGTTGTCATCCCAGTGGAAATCTTATTCCAGGCTGGCAAACTGACTTTTTCAGATGCCTCAACTTCAAACGCCATTAAAAAAAAAACAAAAAACAACAACAACAACAACAACAACAACAACAAAAACAAACACAAAAAAAACCCACCCCAAACCACCAAACCACTAAATAATAAAGAAAACTACAAGTTGTGTGAAAGTGCTACGTAGTATGAAAGCAGCACATGCCTAATTAACCAAAGTAAATGAACCAGACTCTCACTATAGCTGGGCACTGCTGCAGAAACAATGGTAGAAGTCAGGCAGTGGTGACACATGATTTCACAGACCCTTCTCAGGTGTTGAACATAGTTCTTCTTCAAGAGAGTAAAAAATCCTTTTCTAGAGTTTCTGGTCTTAATCTCCTCTCTTTAGAATCTCCTCTCTTTACTGAACACATCAGTAAGTGTTTCTTTCTAATCTAAACCCAGATTCCTCTGGTTTGTTATACTTGGAACCATTACATTCCTGTATCAGGAAACCTTATCATTAATGTCATAGTTTTTGGCTAAAACATGGCAGCTAGCATCTGTTCACAAGCCTGCAAAAAACACACTCCCTATTTTATACAGATGGCATTATATTCTTTTTATCAGCCTTGGTATAAGATAACACATTTTCATCCAGTTTGAAGTAGGTAAAGTGACCAATGTATTTCCACATCTCCCAGACACAACAGCAGCTAACCAGGAAGAATCTTCCCTTCAAAACATCATGATCCACATGTGTCCCTTACAAGCCAGCTTAAGGTTTGCTAAGTTTTCTATAAGGCTACATTAAACAGTACAAAAAAAGAAAAACAAATGAAAACTCCAAACAAGAAACCAATCCACAAGTACATCTTTTCTCTTTCCTCCCACAGGAGAACTTCAAAATGGAAAAGGATCATTTGGAAACAGCAATACTAGCATGCAGAATTTTCTTTAAATATAATCACAACCATTATTTATTTGTGAGTACTAAAGATAAAATTCTAAGAATTCAGGAAACCCAGAGGATAGCACACCAACAGTAATTTCAGTTTTGATGCTCTCCACGCATGTAATGTTTTCTGTACCGTTTGGTGTGTTAACCTAAAACATAAATTAGAAATACACAGTCAGTGCAACCCAGTCAGCCATCTGAAACATCCCTTTTATTTTCTCAAGTATGCATCACTAATTGCATGTTAAATTTTATATTTTTAACATAAGCTAGGAATTTTCTCTCCTAGTTTACTAATTCTAGTGTATTTAATTAGTTGCATTGATAGACATTTCCTTCCAAAGGATCTGTTCTTAGTGAGAGTGGAATAAGCTTCCAAAGATCTGCGATAAATTGTTCTGAAAGCACACTCTGCTTTTCCCAAATGTCTATCACTTACCTCTTCCCAGCCTCTTTTAACTGCCCTCTCCTTCCATCTTGTAGCTTACTCTTAAATATTTCTAAACTGATCTTGTAGTAAAAAAGCACAGTCTAATATTTCACAGGTGCACTTGTGCTCTTGAGGGTAAATATATCACCCTGTCATCACCATGGTCAGCACATTCCTCACAATCACATTATCAGCTGCTTGTGTTGTTTCTGTCCTTATGGGGTGGTTGGAAACACACAGAACTTCCATGTGAAAGACTTCCAGGTGCAAGGTTACAGCTTTGCATCTGTTTTTCTTCTCATGAGAGGGATTTTTTTCCCTCCAATCTTTATAGGATTTCCATGTGGCCTTATTATGTTATCACTAGCAAATGAAATATACACAGCCTTTAAAAGAAGAGTAAATACTATGCAGAGTGAGCAACCCTGAATTACAAGATTAGGGTGATTTTGCCAGGGTTTCATTAGTAGAAACACTTCAAATAAATTAGTCCAGTCCTACATTTCACTACGATTATGCTATCCAGCATTCTCAGCTATCTTTCATTGTCTTTTAACTTTCAGTTATGTATCTCCAAATCTTCTTTAAACTAAAACTCAAGAGCTATCTTTCTCACGGAACTTCAGGCTAAAAGGCAATCATCACTTAGACAACTTGATATGTGAATTGCCAAATAATTTCTAACACCACTGCCAATTCTCCATTTAATTTTAAGAAAAAAACCCCTCCCTCTAGGATTTTAGTGGCAGTTGGGTCCACATCTGGACTTTGCACCCTTATAAAAGATGGGAAACAAAAGATATATTCATTACTGACTTTAAGGAAGGTGCACCTGCATTCAAAAGTGTATTGCCTCACAGACGTCAGACTGAAAGTCTGGAAACACGCTGGAAACACTGTAATGCTCTCATGGAAGACATGACCTTGAAAGCAGTGATGCGTATTTTCCGTAGCTACAATGCTGGGTATGACAGGGTTTTTGCTTCGGCTACCAAATTGGTGAAGACTTTCACATTAATTTTTCTGACAATATATAAACTTTATCATCTCACCATGCCCATGGACACCATGCCCAAAAAGACATCCTTTGGTCCCCTCATCTACAGTCCTTCTACATCTGAATCCAAGTTCCCTGGAAGTTGAGAAGAGTCTGAATCAGCCCAAAGCACACTACCAGCAGCAGATTCTAGATTATATATTCTAGATTACAACTGAATAAGGGAGAATATTACTGCAAGTACAGATGCAACGCACAGTTAAATCTGTTTATACATTAAGGGCAGTTGTCACAGGAGGTTACAACTGAAATCTTGAAGCTTTTAAAAGAGAAAAAAAATTATTCTAAATTAAGAGAAAAATATTTACATAACTCTTTCATTTTCAAGCCCTATGCAATTCACTTGTTGCAAATGGAAGGGATTTTTGTTTCATCTGAACTTACTTTTAAAGGGTTCCTTCCCATCAACTTCATTAGCACCTCAACAGCATTAACTGCAGGTTTCCATGGCTAAACAGATAAATGGAAATTTCATGACAAATCACAAGGTTTTGTCAGTGAGCTTTTATAGAACACCACAGACTGTCCCTTTACTTGTCCCACCTATAACACAGTTTGTTTAATGAATTCTCTTCATTCTTCACCATGTGAGGTAGGCAAGTACAGTGCATTGGCCTTCTTTAACCTCTTCAAGTACCTTCATTCTCTAGAATTCATTCACATATTGAAGTTGAAAGGTGAAGATTCTGAAATTATCTCATAAGCAGACCAGAACTTCTACTACATATCAGAAAAAAATATCAAGCTCTTTTTAAAAAGTCAGTGTATATTTTAAACTCTCTCCAGTGAATATAGTAAAGATCCCTAAAATTCATTTGTAGGTAGAAGTCCTCGCACCTCGTCACTCAACTAAACTGCACATGCAGTTTTAGAAGCTGTTACGTTAGAAAACACGACTCAGAATTAAATTATGCCATAACTGGAGTCCAGGAGATTTATGCTCTGCCAGATTGCATACAATACTCTTGTTACAGCTAAACTACAAGTCAAGATCCAATGAATGTATTCTTATAAAATGGCTTGAAACTCTATAACATTAACCCTGCTTTGGATTTCAGACTCTGCTAGTGCTCCCTGACAAATAGTTTGCTCTTACAATATCAATTTTGCTGCTTGTAGAGTAGACTATATAGTGATATTTTCACTACAATTTAGAGGAAAACTTGTAGGAACAGAAAAGAGATGCTCGGAGAGACCTATTTTCTCTCAGGGCTGATACAGTTTGACCAATAGTCAATATGACTGAAGAAGCTATTTTTACTTATGAAAAATAGTAGGATAAAATAGCCACCAACATAAAAACCAATTTTCTTAAAGTTATATAATTTGAGTTTTAACTACAAAGGAATTTTGAAGATTCCTCAATATTAGAGTCATTTGAATAAAAGAATTAAAAGGGACTACATTTTTAAAATAAATATTTTTTAATAATAAAATGTTCTAATTCGGTTGAAAATTAAGAAAAATGTGAAATAAAAGTATTATAAATTTAGGAAGAATATGTTCTATGTATACGAGCAATATTAGCATAAAATAGTTGAACATTTATATGCAAAATCGAAACTAACTTCAACAAGGGACTTCTGAACAGCTTTAAAAAGCATGTGAAACTAGAACTAAAATCCTTCTATCTTTTGTGGATACAAGCCATTAAAGAACAACTTCTTGTCATATACTTACAAACACATCTTTTGGAAAACAATTTTATTCATTTTGCCTACATTTCACCATCACTGTAACAATACTGAGATCTAAAAGAAGCACAGTAACAGGTAGGTATAAATACTACTCCAGTTCTCCTTTTTAAAGAGGCCAATCACGTAACACGTTGCTTTCATGTAACAAGTTACTTTCATACATAAAATAATTTACCACCATCTGAATTAAAAAAGACCTCACATTGCACTGTTTTGCATTGAACCATCTTACACTGATTTTTTAACTTGTTCAGGGAAGACTCTTACCTCTGTAATTCATCCTTTAGAGGTCCCATTGAGTAGCTCAGGGATTCTGAAAAAACAACTAAGACCAAGCCTCTCCTCTACAAAACATTAAACAAACCCAGCCACTACACTAATCATAGAGGGAGGAAAGGAAGGAGTGTGAGTTGAGTGGCCTCTGAAGCCAACCAGTAACACAAGGCACAGCAGGAGCTGGGCCATTAGGGTTTAGATCTTTCCCAGCTGTGTTGAGCTGGGAGTATTCTCTGAGAAAGGCTGTAGATTTAGGGAAAAGTCTAGGGTAGGTTAGAAGTAGCTTCTAGATAAAGCATCCTGAATGAGGTTCAGTGTGGCTGAGAGCAGGTTGTGGTTTAGTGAACAGGCTCCTGGGATTAATTAAATTGGAAGGGGACAAATTCTCTGAAGGGTAGGACAGGGCCTCTGCAGGCAGCTATTCTCCCTGATAGAAGTTTTGATCTGGGTTATGAGCTTTTGGGACCCTGAAAATTCAGGAAATCAAAATACACATTGTAAACTTTGAGCTAGTCCTCATGGAGAGCATGGTCTGGAAGTACTCAAGCTCTTTCTGGGTTAAATAAAGGGTTTGAGGCCATAACATGATGCTGTACTTGCATCTCTACTTGCACTATGATCTTTTTATGAAAGCTCTTCTGTTATCAGGGTCTCCTACTCCATTATCTGTTGCCCCTGATAACAGAAACAAACATGCCTAGTTAATTCTGTGAGGGCTCACAGCTCATTTCTCATTCCAGCGAGCTTAATAAAACTTGCTAAATAAACTATATACAAAGTTGAGAAAAAGTAATATTTACATTTATTTCAATCCAGTTTGACCATAATTTTTTAATGTTCATTTCTGTAAAGTTTACTTGGATGGATAAAGTTAACTATTCACTCAATTATACACTTTAAAATTTATTTTATTATAGATACCACTATATTTGCTAACACAAATCACATATGTCATATACACCAGGGACAGAAGTTGGTTAGAGACTGGAACATTCCCAAATACCTAAGAAGGGTCATTCTAGATCCCTAGCAAGGTACTTTAGTAGACAATGGGAAAACTTTTGTTGCTGCTAATAATGAAGTAACTACATTGTGACTAACAAACTAAAATACCTTCAGGGTTGTAAGTTTGTTATCTGTAACCCTTTTGTAACGGAAGTTCTTATAATCTTGGAAGAAATACAAACAAGATGTCATTTCTATGGATCAGGTTCTTGCCCTATCATGTGAAAATCAGAAAATGTTTGTTACTGCAAAAATCAGATGATGTTAGCAAAATTATTTCATACTATGCTTGTCATTGTCAGTAAACAGCATTTCTATCAATAATTTAAATTAATCATAAGCTAGTATAAATTCATAATCTCATGGGTATGTAGCCCATTACAGTTTAGTGAATAACAGATAATTTACACAAGCTTCTAAAACTACATTCTTGACATAGGTAAGCTGTACAAATCATAGCAGGATCTCTATGACAATGAGAAAAGCAAAATGAAAGCTCCTTCACGTTGCACTGAAAAGAAATACCAAAAGATTTTTTGGGGTACTACAAAACCTAGTAATGATTCAGACCTCTGAATATATAATATCCCTTAATGGCACACAATAGCAGCAATCAATCTCTGATGCTATGGCCCAGTAGTTAGAGCTAAGACCTTAAAGAAATCACAAAGCTTCTTCATCCATGACACAATGCAAAGGGCAAAATAACAGTTTATTTTCTGTGGCCATTTTTTTTTTCTGCTGAGAGGAAAATTAATGCTTCAAGGAAAAACAGAAGGGAAACTGCTTCCTGGGGAAAATAAGCATTCTTCTTTCATCTTTAGACTACATTTTATAGTTGCAAGAAAATAAAATCTTAATCCTGTAGGAGTTCATCTGGTTTTGGTACCTGCAAAATATTTGAATTACAATGTTCTTATTTGGGATTTTAAACTCATTCCATTATGTGGGATATTAAGAAATAAAATTTCTCATGGCTTTAAATTGGAGATTCATATATTCATACAGAGCCATACTACTCTGTATTACATTGATTATTATTTAGTACCAGGTTTTCATATGCAAATCCAAAGTCAGGTGAATCCCTCCCCATACCTTTCACGTGACAAGCTTTTACAAAGTAAAATAGTATTGCATGCTACCTGTAAATCTAAATTATAAATCTAAGCCTACCCTGTGCTTAAGCACTTCAGCCAAAAGAACATATGGCCTTTGGCATATCTGCATTTCAGAATCTGTATTTCTTAACTGGAAATACTTGACTATCTCCCAAGTTCATATGCTTAGTTGTACTATTCTGGCCTAATGCAAGAAAACAGGTTAGTCACCAAGAAAAGAATCTCAGTGTAGAACATCCAATTCTGAAAGTTATGATTGACAGAAAAAGACTCTCACAACCAAAAGGAACAGAAAATGAGCTGCTACATCTTTTAAGAAAATCTATTTCTACTAAAATTTTACACATTACTGAAGAGATTGCTGGGAAGGATTCATTGTTGGTCTTCTAGAAGCAGAGAAAATTTTTTCTCCTGCTTCTTTTTTTTTAAACTATAAAATTTCTTATCTACCAATTACAAGAGAAAGTTATTCCATGGGCTCAGGATATTTAGCTTAGATTGTAGGTAACTTCAATATAATCTTAAACAGTTACCCAAGAGGCAGAACTCACAGAAGTTAGAAAGTTTTTTGCTCTAATTAGTGGGAATGGACATTTATCTTCTAAATCATATGTCTTTCACATGGATTACAAAACAAGTAGCAGATTCCTCCTTCTTGGCATAATTCAGGAAGTTTGGGTTCTGCTGTTAGAATCATACAAAATGTAATTTAATGCTGAAAACCACCAACATGTCTAAAATGCTGCTTATTTCAGGTAGTCTATTAAAGATGTTGACAGCTATTACCTGACAGTGAAAATAACAGACCTACAATTAACTAAGCATTCCAGAATTCAGACTGTTAAGGAAAAATTGAAGACATTTGAATAGAAAAAGCTTTTCCTGAATCTTTAAAAAAATCCCATCTAATATACCAAACAGCAAGGTGTCTGAAACACCAAGCTGGATAGATCTTCACTTTTTGATGCCCCACACTAAACAGGATGATATACATGCTAATTCTATTTTATGAGAGGAAGACTATTGTTTTGTGAGCAAATGTAACTCCAGCAATGCAGCATTCCAAGTATCTGACCAGAATATATTGACACTGGATGTGACTAACCACACAGTAATGCTCCAGGGGTGAGGGGAGAAAACTGGGGGAAAGCATACACAAAACCATCCATGATTCTCTCACAAACTGTTTGTCAGAGACAGCAAGACCTCCACACAAGAAAGGAGTTCTAAATTCATTGCTCTTTTATGGGTGCTCTGAGATCAGAGCCTCAGTATGTGGAGACCTGCTCTAGAGATCAGGACCCTCCGTAGTGGACTCTATATGTCCAATCATACCAAAGATGTGGGGGTTTTGTGGGTGTGGTAAGAAAACTAACTCTTTTAAGCTGTTTTATCAAATTGCTGTTCATATCTATTTCCAGCCATTGCAGAACTCTCAGCTTCCTTCTTTCAGGATTTCTGCTTCATCCTTCCCATACCTATAGCCCCTCTGAGAAACTCATGCTGTGCTATGCAAAGGCTATTTAAGCAATCTTTATTGACATAAAGTACCTTGGACCAAAAGAAATTTTTGATGGGCACAGGCAGGAGATGGTCACGTTGAAACAGCCAAAGGCTGGGTTTTTTTAACAAGGATTTTAAAAGCATTATAGACATGCAAAATCATATTGCAATGATCCCACGTAACTCATAAACTGGGGGATACCCAAGACATCTGCCTTTGCACAATGCAGAAGGGCTCGCAACAGGCGTGATCTCTGCAACCTCAGAGAGCAGAGACTTGACCACAGACTGCAAGTCACCAATAAAAGGAAGTAGAAGGCATCATGATCATAATTCAGTCAGCCTCCAGTTGAAGAATGAGAAGGAGAAGAAATCTACTACCTCCTTACTACATGATAGAGTACGCCTCAGAGAAGTGTAGACACTTCTACAGATGTACCAAGGAACAGTCTCTTTGATACAGAGATTTCCTTTTCAAGGGAGTGCAGCTCTTCACTGCCTCCTGTGAAATATTATTAGAAGAAATGTCCAGGATGGATCATAAAACTTTTCACAAAAGAAAAATCATAAGGTGAAAGCACAGAGCTTCCTCATTTGACAAGTATTTGTTGGTAACAGAAACAACACCAACCACTGTGTGGTAAAATTAGCTGTCATGAAGAAGTATATGAAATTGTATCCCTTAGAAATTGATATCTGGCATTTTTATTGAAATAAGCCATGTCACCTGTAAATTTGCAATCACATATACTAGTGGCAAAATGATTTCAGACCTGTAAAAGAGAAAACCCTTAACGTTTGGAATAAGTCATGTTTTATTCTCATGATTTACAAGTCATACATACAGGCAAGCAGATACATTGTATCTGGGAGTATATCTGTAGTGTTTTTGAAAGTTAGGATGAACTTTAATGGTGAGATTTCCATAGGAATACACAATGCCAAATCTTTATTCCCTCAAAAGTCCTGAAGTACATGTTCAAAATCAAATACGAGATTTGTACAGTGGAATAAAAAAAAACCAAACCTAACCCCTAACCCTAATCCTAATCCCTATCCCTACCCCTACCCCCTAACTCTAATCCCTAACCCTGCCCCTACCCTTACCCCTAATCCTAAACCCAACAATATTATTGCAGTTTTATTCAGACTCACAACAGTGTTGATGTATGTGACTGCAATCTTTAGATACTGCTATCCTGGACAGAGTTTTTAATTATGTCCCTATTTAAAATAGGTGTCACAAATAATAATGACCAATAACCCCGCTCTCAACCACAAGAGTGGAAACCAATATCCTCAGAAATTGACAACTTCCAGTATGATACAAAAAGCCAGCAACACCCATTCATTCCAACAGATATTTAACACATAGGATTGTTTTTCTGTTGTGAAAAAGACCCACATCTTTCATTCTTCTGAAGTCAACAGGAATTTTGAATAAAAATACCCAGGCTGAAACTTTTCAGATTGCATTTGCTACTTCCCTATATGAATTACTGAATTTCACTTAACTTCCTATTCACACGTAAGATTTACATACAACTCTTGTTCTAGGGAGAAGAGGAAAAATGCCAATTCTGAAAATTTCCAAAGGTCCTACTCTCTGTAAATAGGAATTGAAGGAGAAGAGACACTACTTTGCTCTGTCAGGCAACAGGAGACTAAACTAGCATTTTTACCTTACCAATTTAAATAATGAAGTACTTAAAGTGACCACTCACCTCTCAGGGGTTATAATTTTTTTTAGGAGTACCTGTTGCAACAGGACACAGGGTAATCATTTTACACTAAAAGAGGATAGATTCAGACTAGATATAAGGAAGAAATTTCTCATGATAAGGATGGTGATACAGTGGCACAGATTTCACAGGGAGGTGGTGGATGCCTCACTCCTGGAAACATTCAAGATCAGGCTGAACGGGGCTTTGAGCAACCTAATCTGGTTGAAGATGTCCCTACTGTTGGACTAGATGACCTTTAAATGTCCCTTCCAAACCAAATCATGATAACACTATGATAACACTTTTGTGGGAAAATGGGGACACTGCGGATTTTCAGACAGCTAAGAAGCAGACTCGGGTTCTTTCAGTAACCGCTCTTTCTCCTCCATTTCCTTGTGATCTTACATCCCTGCAGCCAGGAAAAGAATGTTTATATGAGGATTCCCCGAGATACAGAATGTATTTTTAGTTTGGTGACAAAATTTTGCAAAGTTGTTCTTCTTTCTCAGAAGCCAGGCATTACTTTGACTGCTGCATGGGACTCTTATGGTTACATTTTCAAAGCTATGCTTGTGTTGGAAACACAAATGCCATTACTGTTACAGGATTAGTGCACATAACTTTCCAAATGCTGCCTTAAAAATGAAGCCAAGGAATATTAGTTGTGTGTGCTTTCTGGAATTAATGTAGGCTGTGATTATTGGGCAGTCTTTACAACAGCATTGTTATATATGCATTTTTTGATGTACTATCACTAGACACTCATTCAGACCTGTCTGTATTTCTTTAGTAGTTGGATATTTATTAAAAAAAAGGAATGATAAGACATCAGTTTCAACGTACCTCTAACTCTCCAGATGAACACAATTTGTCTTGACTTTGTTAACACTATTTCTTGGTGCCTTTTTAATGTCTCTTAGGAATAAAGAAAAAAAAGTTAACAAAATTATTAACATAATCTTTGTTTTCCTTAGTTCCACTAGAAGCTTCAAACCTGTGTTGCAGTGATGGAATTGACATGGTGCCGACATTACCAATTCCCCAGTTTCTTGAATCTGATTAAACTTTTTCTGCTGTTCTGAACTAAAACAGGTTTTGTATCTTATTACATTGTACAATTGCCTCAGGTGAGAACTAGTTTTTTCCTTCTATTACTATGCAGCATCTATTGCAATCACAGTGTTAATTTTTCACACTGTTAAATGCTTAAAATGTCCTATGCTTGTATCATCAACTTTCAAATGAGAATGGACCTTTTAACCATTGTTTTAACCACTAAAATCATTAACAATGGTCTTGACACGGAAAGAGATGAAAGGAAAAGAATGTGTCTTATAATAGAGAGAACATCTAGTTTCTGTATGTGGACTATGAGGTATGGCATGTGTTGTCTCTCCAGCACTACGAAATCTCAAGCAGTTCCAGACATGCCCATTGACATATCAACAGGCACAGTTTGAGAAAACCTAGAAATTGGTACCACATAAGCAGGCATATTCAGGTTTCTAATTTTTGGCTTTAAGTGCCTCATTTTACATTCAGCATACTACAGGTTTATATACTTATCCTGATTTGGTTTTTATTCCTGACATTGCCATTTTTTTGTTCTGTTTATACAATAAAATAGGAAGTTGGATGCTGTTGGTTTCCTGTGTATCAGCAGGGTGAGAAGGCCTCTTCAGGAGAGTAATTCATTCATTCATTCAGTAATTCAGTAATTCAGTAAATCCTTCCTCTGAATTGTCCTCTGGGTGGTAGAAATCTCTTTCTCCTAACAAATTTTGAGGATTCTAGGAAGGCTAATCAACCAACACAGGCACTTGCCATGGAGTGCCTTGAATCAGGCTGTGTGAAAAGCACCCAAATTACAAAATAACACCACACTTGCACGGGTAACCCGGCAATATCTGGTTTTTATAAAAGTAGGTAAATTATGGTAGTTGTCTTCTCTGCTATTGTCATGCTCACATCTAATATAGAGCTGACATGCAGTCAATATAAAAAACCATTTATCCCACAAGACACATTTCAACTATTTCCAGACTGAATCTATCACTGACTTTAGCTTTCATCTTCCTCTTTTGTCAAAATTTTCTAGGCTTTAAATATAATCCAACTAGAAAGAACAGAGATTATTTCTTCAATAAGTAACAATAATTTCTCTTGTGATGGTGTGGTATAAATACAGACAGCATCCAAAAGTCTTACAGCCACTCATGTAATAAAGTTCTTTTTCAGTGTGATTAAACATCAAAGTGTTTTTAAAGAACCCCTTTATAAAATTTGAATTTCAAATATTTATTTCACTGCCAAAAAATCTTATTTTGTGTTCAGATAACTGAACCATAAATCATCCCAATCCTTAAACTGCACTGGCCAAAGTACTATCATTCATTAGATAAGGATAGTGACTACCTCATTTAAAATGAATCCTAGTAGATGACAGGCAGTGGAAGGAATATATTCTAGTGTGATATGAGCCAGAAATACAGTTAACTAAAGGAAAGAGCATTGAGGGGTGGTAAAACAGAGAAAATGCCTGCATGATGATGTTTGTGAAGGAGGTCATTCAGAGCTTCTACACACACAATATTTCTTACGTAGTCTTGGCTACAGTCCAAGACTATATACTCACACACACATACATATGTATAAAAAATGCACAGTCCATCCTGGTATATAATTTAAAACATGTATTACAAATACTTACACATATTAATCCAATAGTTGTGGGCTACTTACTATCAAAGTCCACTGTTATATGTAACAGGGAACAATATTATTTTACTGTATTGTTTAAATAGATTTGGTCTTGTAGAAAACTGATGGTGTAAATCAGGATCTTATGTCTCATTTGGCAAATAGTAGACATTTCAAATGGTTTTAATCCGCTGAGGACAAAGTAATAATTCTGTTCTGATTTTTACAAGTTATACACATGCCTATTGCACACAATATAAAAAAGAAATCAATGTGAATGTTCACATGAATAGATTTTAGGCATATCCATAAAGTTGGAAGAACTATGGCCTATGGATAGAAGTAGTTTACAACAAAGTGAAGAAGAATGGTCTGTAATGACATGTTCTCCACAGAACCTGGAATAAAAAGCAAGGACTTTAAATTGAACAAATGCTTCAAAGTGATACCAAAGTATAAAAACCTTCAGGTTTTACTTTCTCTATATTTGCAGTTGACAATATGTTTCTGTAGAGAAAAAAGTGAAGTCTTCAGACTTTTTTAAAATAAAAGCTTGAAGGTTGGAGGTTTTTCATTAAAAAAAAATAAGCCAATCTTAATACAAAGCAGTACAGGATTGAAAATGGGAAAATGAGAGCTACGTCTACCACACTAACCTAAAGTGACTTGAGCGGTATGATATGTTCTTCCAGGGCATGGCTAAAGCAGGAATGAACAGCTTAGTTCACATTCAGTCTGGAAACAAGAAAAATGCTTTCGGTTACATTTTGGTCTTGTCCAGAACAGTTCTGTTGGCATTCAGTAAGCATCCACAATTACAAGATCTGGGGTACGTCCCGTCAGTTGTTCACATGCAATTCAGCCCAGAGCACAGCAATAAGGTCAACAGAAGTTTAGAATTTATTACAAAGAAAAGATTGCTGCTGTGGGAGCTCTCTGGCATCAAGCCTCAGAGAGCCAAGAGCAGCCCCCCGTAACTGCTTGTCTACACAATCTCCATTGTTCTCTCAGGTTTCACAGCTGCAGAGGTTGCTTTCTGTTCCAGAAAGTAAGAGCTGTCCTCCTTCCTGCTCTCCTCCCTGCAAAGTTGCAGAGCAGATCCACAACAGGAAGGATTTTGCTCTTCTCATTTTAGGGAGGGAGGGATGCTGATCTTGTAGGCTCTTCACTGCTTATATCACCCTGCCTGAACCAATTAACTTGGCCTTAATAGCCCAGTGGGTCTCAGGTGGCTGGGGCTTGACAAGGCATTTCCTCTCTGTGCGCTAGTCTGGATAAAAGTTACTTGAAGGACACACCTCCTAAATTGTGTTACCTTTTTATATTTAATCAAAAAACAACCTTTGCCTTATATATTAGAATCTGAAGATAAGCCAAGAACATATGAATTGAATATTTTAAAATCCTTCTTAACTGATTAACTGTGTTTCTCAGAGACATTCCTGCTAGTTCCAAAGAGGAGCCTTCACCTAACAGTTCAATAGAGGGAGCTTAGAGTAAACATTTTTCCCAAATTTTTTAGTAAATTGATCCCTTTCTACACTGGAATTCTCCTATGTCCCCTAGCAGGAATCACCCGCAATTCCCAACTGATGACAGTCTGAAAGGCAGGATATTTGACATAAGGAAACTAGAATTTGAACAAATCTCTAGAGTTTAAAAAGGGATCTATCCATGCTATAAAGTTGGAGCTGTAGAGCTGATGTCCCAACACCCTGCTATGCCGTAGTGCCATCTCATGGACTCCAGCAGTTCCTGGCAGAAAGCAGAGGAGACAGGGAAGGCGGAAAGGACGAGGGAGAGAGAACAGGTGTTTCAGAAAAAAAACTAACCCCCGCTTCATCTGCTCTGTTCCTGATGTAGTAGAGCATTCAAAGAAATGTAGAGGCATCTAATTACTTAATTACCATTGCATATGTTTATCCTGGAGTGTCTTAATGGTCTTTTCAGGCAACATGGATATGAAATTGGGTTGTGACCACTCCAGAAAGCTCAGACATAAAATATGTGAAGACTGGGCCCAAAACTTGAAGTTAAATCATGAGTAATTCTAAATAACAAAGGCATTAAAAAAACCCTACTAAAATAAAAGAGATCTAAGGGGTTAATATAGTCCTTCCATGTAATTACTATTGGGTATTACTATTTGTGCATAATTGTTCATATTTAATGCAGTTAAAAATTATTAATTTACCCACAAAACAGCTATGTAAACTAGGTACCAGAGAAATCTAGAAAAAAACTTGATTTACTTCACAAATTTGGCAGTCTAAGAAAGACAATATGTCCTTGGTTTGTTTCTGATGAAGTGATTTCACAGTATTTCCAAATGAACCTATTCTACTCCAATGGGAAGTGAAACAATGTTTGTTTAAAATGATTTAAAATCACAGACTTTAATTGGAAATCTAATCTGCCAGGCTTCTGAATTCCCACTTTGACTGTGCACAGACCCTGCTTCGTCAGTCTGGCAAGCTTTTAATTACTTCCCATAATAACGCATCACTAATCAGCAACTACTAAAACAACACTCAGTCTGAATCTAACCTTTTACAACAAAGTAATAATATATTATCCAGATTAAGAACTACTTTGTTTTCCTAGGTAGATCATAATCTCCTTCACTGCTTCGTTTAATTTTTTTTCTGACATGACTGGAAACTATTTGGTTAAAGGAAATGTATCTGCCTTGATTAGATTAGGATTTGGCAGCAAACTCTGCAATAATATAGTCTGCCATATCAGATGACACCAGGGCTTAAAACTTTTCACATTCCTTTAGTTTGTAGCAGAGCTCGCACAAATTCTCACATCTGAACTTTCAAAATGCCTCATTTTTACTTTCTGCCTGATGCTGAATGAGTACAAAGAACACTGGCATTTTATTTTGCTGAAAAAACTCAAGTTGCTTCTAGAGTAGAAAAACATTAACTTGGCTTACTTCCATCATGGATGTGTGTGTTGCAATAAAATTCACTTTCTTGAGAGAAGGTACCCAGAGTCCCCATAAAACACAGGAAATTCAGGCGTACAAACCAGTAAACTTAACAGACAAAGCTACCAGTAAAAGATGACCAAAAAAAAGGAGAGGATCTAATATATGTCCCCCCAGAGACAATTAAGGGCTTATTCAGGATTCTCAGCTACTGGCTCTCCTCTAGAACTCTGTCCCATCATCCTCTCCTCATAAAAAATAAGACAGAGGATTTCACAGTGTTTCCCAGTTTGCAATACTTGGTAACTTAATAGTTAAAGCATTTATTAAGATTAATAAATAAGATTAAGAAAGTACTTACCTCCCCTTTGGCCTCCAGATCTTATTCCAGCAGGAAATCACACCTTAATGTAACTGATCCTGCCAGATACTTCATTGTTTTCCATTAACAGTGAAAGTGGCAGGCATGTTCCATCACAGATCTTCCCAAATGTGTTGAAATGAAAGAGAAAAAAAAGAGGTGTGTTCATCTACACTTGTAAGTATCTTCTGTTGTTATAATTAGTATCCTTTATTTTTAGATGCTACTCATGTAAGAATTTGGTCTACTCTGAAGTTTTTAGGAGTTTCTTTTTGTATGCTCATTCCTGTATTCCTGCAGTCAAAAAACTTAAATTATTTCACCAAGATCTATATTTTAAAATATCATCCTAATATATATGATGAAATACTATACACAGATAAGTTTCTGGGCATTATTACTCCGTACGGTACAGTGCATTTCTCTGAAATGTGCCTAATTCCAAAAATATTATTAACATAGTGTTTTTTAAAAGCAACCTAGTGGGGGGGGAAAGCCCAAGTGTAGAAAGATTTTACTAGAGATGAGTCAAAGTGTTTGAGGGTTCTCTTCTTATCAGGCTGGACCCAGTGACAGGACTGTGTCCAATGCCATGTGGGACTGCCAATTTTAAGCACAGTATGACAATGCAGCCATGTGTTCAGTCAAGTTTTTGCATTAATCTGGAAAGCAATATCAAATCAGTATTTTGTAGGCTTTTTTCCTTTTTCAAACTAACATTTCCTGGATATAACTGATTTATTGTTCTATTCTGTGAGTTATCATTCAAGATTTCCAAGGGGAAAGGAATGATATTTTTGCCTTCAGGATTGCTGTAAGAAAACACCTGCATTTAGGATAAGAAACTTTATTAAACTATGAGAAATTTTATAGAACTATTGTCTAGGGTACAAGTGGAAATATTAAAAGTTATATCCCATCTGAGGCTGAAATGTTTCTCTTTTGCACACATGGAATATGTTCAATATAATTCTCAATGCCTGTAGACTTCCTAAAAGCCTGAGATAAATTTAGTGTCAGAAGAAGGAATTGTGTAGTCACACAGAAGTAATTACTTTCAGTACTAATCCACATTTTAGCCTGAAATCTAGTGAGTATTTTTGTTGCCACCACAGAGAATCTGACATAAACAAAACATCTCAAATTATCCCACAACCTCTAGTTTATTCCATGTACACCTGGAAATCACAGCTGAGCCACAGTGCCTCTGATTTTTGCCAGGGCACTATATTTTAGTGTTACAAAATACTTTGTAATTTCTCAGAACTTTACAAAGGCTAGAGAAGGATGGTGGTACAGGATAACCACATCCTCATAATGGTAGTTATCCTTATTTAATTTTTCAGATTTGAGGTAGAAACATGTTATGGGATTTTGATAGATTCTTGTATTATTTAAAATAAATATTCTCTGATAAGACACACCTTGCATTTTAGCAATGCCACAAAAGTAATTCAGCCTAGAGGTCTTCACTCTTTCATAGACTGACTGGCTTTTGATCCAGACAGACACTGAGGTTTTGGTCTAGACCTTTAACCTCTGAAACAAATTATGCTGTTTACAAGCCTAGAGCTCCTTCAGACTAACTATAGGAAATATGCAACATCCTTCAAAATGATCACAACTGAATTATTAGGATTACTATGCTGCACAATGTGAAAAATAGATATTTCTAGAGAAACAAGGTTATTATTTGCTGTGACTGAATTTAAGCCTGAAAGCTTTGACCCATACACAGGACATGCTGTTATTTTGTCTTTTTCATTCAGACCACAACTCTTCCTTCTCTGGGTCAGAAGCAAATACAGTTGGGCATTGCCACACTGATTCTGCCTACAGGTTTCAGAGTAATCTGCACTTTGCAAAATCTGGCAGTTTGCAAAATATATCATTTTTTATTACTGAAGCCTATGGATAATTTTTCAGTAACAAAGTTCAGTTTCTTTTTTTCTGAATATCATTGACTGAGATTATTCCTTCTTGGTTACCACCGACCGTATGAAAATCTTAGATTCTTAGTCTTTAGAATTATTTTGTGTTGCACTGCCATGAAAATAGATAATCCTGTTATTCTTTATTACATAATATGTATTCATTATCTTCCTAACCTGCCTGTTTAAATCTGTACTGTACTAACATGTTTTCTGGTTTTATACTTCAATTTCTACACCAACAGTATTTTAAAGTCCAAGATTGTTCTTTTTAATATCCACTTGCAACAGCATTACAGCCAGTAAATGAAATGGATTATATTGAATAGGTTCAGAATTCCCATTTTAGCTACATCCATGGGACAGAATTTTAAGCATCTATCTGTGGCCATGACAGAACAGGACATCCTGTAAATGTTTATGGTTATCATTTAAGTGTCTAAGTTTGATTTCTCCATTAAATTGGCTTTCTCTTCTCTTTATAAAGGAGCCCTGCTTCACAGGGAATAGAAAAACAGCAAAACAAAGCAGGACACTAAATTCATCTCAGGGTTCTGCTGACATCAGAAACCACTCAATCTTTGCTCAAGAGACTCTTCATGTATTTATAACCCTGTAATTTACAGTTTCCTTCCATTTACTCTCTACATGGGTGACCTACCGAACGAATGCACAACTGCCAATATGGATCCCTTGTATGCTGACAAGGAGCTGCCTATGCTAGCACAGACAATCCAGTCAGGTTTGAGAATGTCCTGGACAAAAACATTTATCATGTAGCAAACACTAGAGGAGCTGAGCTGCCTGCTAAATACTACCCATAAAAACAAAACTATTGAAAAGTGAGGCTGACAAGATACAAGTAACTTGAGAGTCACCTCAGAGATGAGAGGAACATTTGGTTTGTGCACAAAGTGTTGGTTTTCTTTATTAATTTATTTCTCTCACATAAAAATAGAATAATTTTCTAATCTTATTCATAAAAGAGCTCAGTATTATTCATGTTGAATAAAAGCTTGTTATTAAATGGGCTTGACAGAACAGTTTCTCTTAACACCTCTTAGAGGTAAACTGGGGCTTATAACAGGAATAAATTAAATGCCACTGGACTGTTTTTGTAATTTGTTAGGAATAAGATTTTTCTAGATTGTTCACTATCTTAAAACACTGCTTAGTTAAAATAATCCCACTCCTCTCCATTGCAATCAGCCCTTCTGCTTCAAAGCTAGCTTAGTTCCTTGTGTTTCTAGCTGTATCCAGGTGCTCTTTGAAAGGCACAAAGTTACCCACAAAAAAGACTAGTAAAGCATTACGATAAGGTGCGTCCGGGTGCCAGAATTCAGGTTCTGAAAATCCTGTCCCAAGAAAGGAGCTACAGGGCAATTTTTCAAAACAAATTTTTACATTTTTTTAAGCTGTAGTTTTTGTGGTATGAAGAACGAAGTAGCATTCACTATAAGTGGGAATTGGGATGACTGAGCCTACACCACTCTTGATGTGTGCCCTGAATCAAGTCATTGCTCTCTGCCACACTTCCTTCAACTGTAAAATGAGCATATTATGGTACCGTCCTCAGAGCAGGGATGCAAAAATAACCAGTTATGTAAACATGCAAAACATTTTGTGATCCTAAACTACACACTTCTAAAATGAGAAGGGTGACATGACTGGCAGTGTTTGCTATATGGATTTTTTTTACTACAGTAAAATTAAGAAACTGTATAGAAATTACAAGAACTGAAAATCATCTGTTGTTTAATCTTTCACCAAACAGTTGTCAGTTATCAATTTCTGAAGGCAGGATTATGGGAGAATAAACAGTTCTTAGGACTGGGTGGGTACCCAAAAGTCTTCCAGTTTTGTCAAAAGATTAATTCCAGGGAAGACTAGGACCATACAGGACCAAACACACCACTTGGTACTGCCTCCAAACTGCAATAATTAAGAACCAGTTTATGACTCATCTGTGCTATGCTGTCTCTTCAGTCTGTGCTTTGCTCATAAACAGATGGACTGTAAATATTCTTGAAACAAATTTTTCAAAACTAACTTCTAACCTCATAACAAAACATTCAGCTCTGTGAAAATATAATTGAAACAGATCTCTGGGAATATGGAACATAACATCATAAACCCTGACTAGACTTCTTAAAAATTATTTTAGAATTTGAAAGACACTACTAAATGACATAATGGTTTTGCAATATGGTTTTTGCATAACAGTTTTGCAATGACATTTGACGATCCTTACTAAATTGGGCTCTATTGTGCACAGCAGAAGATACAAAAGATTAGGAGTGGTCGGCTTAGAAAAGATGAAAGAAAATCTGGCCAAAGAAATATAAATGGTATATTTTATATTTATTCATAAGGGAAGAACAAATCGACAATCATAATTATAACAGACTAACATATGCCTAGAATGTTTGTGCTGACCTGTAAACTCAATTCTGTGACCACTATTTTGTCTGAAAAGCTTCTAAATTTGTTTGTTCTTTCCTTTTGCATTTTTCCACTTTGAATTAAATACACATCAAATGGTGAAGTCTTTCCATGCAGCAAGAACTACGAGAAATATGCCAAAAAATGGCAATTCTAATAATTTGATTATGTTCACCCTAGAAAAAGAGGGTGCCTGCAACCCCACCAGGTTGCAGAAAACCGCTTTGCCTTGTTTGCAGTTGTTGGGAAAGGGCAGAACTGAGGCAGGCAATGGATCTCATAACTTCTGGAACTGCTAGAGACGTTTGAAAGAGAAACTAGAACAGGACAGAATTTTTCCATACTGATGTGTCTGTAACAACCTATCAGCTGAGTACAGGATTGAGGATGTTCTGCAAAACCTGCTAATGGGCTTTGTAAATATTGTGAACTCTGATAGGAAGTGTTTGGTATGCAGGTATTCGTAAATCTTGTTTTGTTTAGCTAAAAAACTTAGCTGATTTGGAAATAATTTTCTAAATTTGTAAATTCCACAGTTTTATTTGTAATCTCCTCATTGAGGGTGTTTATTGATCTGTCACATCACAGAACATGGTAAAATGCAGGGCCATGCATTAACAGAAGAATGCTGCAGTATTAATATTGCTCAGACAAAAAGCATGGAAGCTGGTAGGGTTAAAAAGTGGGCTCTACTATGGCCTCAAGAAAGGTACACCACCTTTAGAGTTCTTTTCCTATCTCCAGTAAAGAGCTCAGAACAAATCAGAAATACATTATATTTATTCCTTGTCTTCTCATGAAGAATAATAATTCACTAGAGGAAAATAGTTTCCTATATATTTAATGGAACAAACAAAACCAAAATAATTTACTGGATGCCTCTGGAAAGATTTGTAGCTATTGTAATGTACTAAGAAGCGGAGTCTTTTTGGTTCTGATAAATGATATAGTCATAACTGACACATGAATAATGAAATGCTAACACTGGTAAATGCAAGTAAAATAAAATAACCAAGTGATCCTCTGGTTGTACTCAGAGGGAAGGAGAGGACAAAGGCAGTGTTATAACAACAGCTTTTGCAGACTGATCAAGTACACAGTAGGGAAACCTATGTTGTGCTCCAACTAAAATATGCTGAGACTCACAGCTTACAGAGAAAGGAAAGCTAGGAGTTCATTCAGTGGTTCTATATCACCCAACTCTATACCCTTACAGAGGAAAGTGAATTCATAAGATACCAGCCAACTTCGTAAAGTGAGAACCATGCAAAAAACTGCTAGAGTGGGTTCCAGAGATGAGTTGAATGTTTTCTGCATTCATTTTCCAAAGCCAACTCATTTTAACTTAAAGTTCCATGAAGGCTCTATGTTTTCAGGTCTGGGGAGTACTTAGGCTAACAAAGAAGGTATATATTTATTGTGGCCCTAGTTAAAAACAAACAAACAAAAGAAAACCAAACCTGAAAGCAGAGTTTCTGTAGCAGATCGAGTTGCATTATATCCACAACACATTGACATTATCTATTTTATAATAATCATTGCAGCAAGAAGGAATTGTAATATTCTAATTCAAAACTCTATTACTAAAACCAGATATCTTGTTGGAGAGAAACTGCTAGAGTTTACAAACATAGCAACCTCAGTAGTGGCAATTCTAGACCAAAAATAATGAAGATTTGAAATGTATAAAACACTGGAAAGAATTATAAAGGCAACTGTTGTACCACAGCAGGCAACAGGTACTACATGGTTGTTTTAACAAGCACAAAGTACCTGCCATGACAGTATCTTACACACACTTCTACAACTTTCTAGGGTAAAATTTATTTATAAAGATAGAAAAATAAAGCTCTTAATTTTTTTAAAAGTACTAGATTTAGGCTGGTGTTACAGAAGTCATTCTCTCTTTATGCCTTTTTATGCCTCCACAACCTACACACTAACTGAAGCAGGGCTGGACAAATTATAGGCTATCATGTAATTGTAAGCTATATCATAATGTATTCACTCTAGAAGGCAAAATTAAAGATACATTTACTTTCATGGGAAGAAAAAAGGTAGTAATGATGGTGAACATTTTAGAAGCCCTTATTTACCAAGAACAGAGAATTAAAAGGCTTTTAGCAAATGGGCTTTTTCTAACTGGTAAAAGTATTCCACCAATATTCTCTACAGTTACAACTTCAGCACTGGTAGCAATAATGGAAATGATGTTAGAATTAGGGCTCAAGGCACTAAGGCTCAAATTGCTGTCATCATCAAGGGGAAATGCTACATCTAATGATAGATTCTCAAACAATCAGCTGGCCTGATTTAGTCTGATGATCCATCAAGATTCAGTACTGAACTTAATCAGGATTTTCTGGAAATAGTCTGTATATAAATTCTTAATGTGACTTCTGGTACACACTGTTCAGATCTTGTCCTCTTTCAGTTTTTTAATGACTTTTTGAAGTATCTCATGCCATTTAACAAAAACACATACTCAATAATTAGAAGATGTAACTTCACAGAGGTTTGCTTTACTATGAACACACACATGAGATCTAAGAGGATGATTCACAAGAGCTAGCCTAGCATTCACAATGACCTCAGTTGTCTCAGGTTCAGAATGAAAATAAGCTAAAACTTTTCACTCAGAAGGTTTCTGTTCCTCACTCTAGGAGGTAATTAATTTAAATACAAATAAATAATCATCAACTTTTATCTTGTCCCTGTTGCTGGAACAACAAATCAATTCCCAGTATTACTCAAAGGATACTTTAGAGATATAGATCTACTTATTAGCAAAGGCTGGGAGTATTCCAGTTGTACATTTCAGTTCACGTTTATTTCCAGTAATAACATTAACTACACTACTTAATAAGCTAAATTGTACAAAATTGGAATTTACCCTCAAAAATATGCAATTCCCATATGCAGCCACTGGATGGACTTACAGAGCCAGTGAAACTTTCTGCTTGTAGACAAGATGCACAATTAGGTGAGCAACTGGGAAGAAATTTTCCTTCTGGGCAGTAGGAGAAGCTTTCTGTAAAAAAAGGTTTGAGCCTAAAAAGCAAGGTACAAGAAGGGATTTTAGCTTCTCTTAAATCGAGTCCTTCTTTTTCAATACAATTAGTTTAAGAACAACTAGATTGCTGAAATGAACCAGAGTGATAAGAAAATTAGTTTGTAGAACACACAGATCAGTTCCAAATGTGATTATTTGGCATTAGGGTTTTAGGGTAAAAGCACTAAAAATTGTACTGAAAAGAAGCTAGGGGGTTTTTGATAGCTCATTTGCAAACAGAAGCAGATCACAGTTATTTAAAGTTCTGCTTATTTAAACTTATGCTACTTTAAAATGACCATATTCTTTAAGAATAAGTTAAAACAGTATTTGCTTAAGCTCCCTTACCTTTTCATAGAATAGGAAACTACTACTCTGCATACTAAGTGTAAAACAAGCCCTGCATTAAACAAGAGTATGATCATCCATGAATATAAAAATTTATTACAGCTGGCTGTTGCAATCGCTTCTGAGTATTTTGTGTGGATTATATTTAACTATATTATAATTTATTTAATGCACTTCTCTAGACCAGTTACTATTTCACTGTATCATGGCTAGGCTTCGCGAACAAAGATTTGGGGAAGGCTCTACCCACATTTGTTACAAGCACGCTGGTGGCTAAAAAGGCCAATACGAGATAGGCACATCTGGTGAAGAATCCTTAGGATTCTCCTTCAAGAAGAACAAGGACTGGTTTGATGAAAACAATCGAGATCCAGGAATTGTTGAGGAAGAAGAGAACTGCTCACCAAGCACATCACACTGTATACAAAAGTGATAAAATACATATGTGATTCACTGTGTTTTGATGTTGTATAGATAAGAGTAGTGGTAGGTATCAGTAGTAGCAGGAAAAGTCAGTAAATTTATCTCAAAGAAAGTAAATAGGGTTGCTGTGGGGAGAACCAGGTGAAGTTGGGGAATGAAAGTATAGATGTATAAGCCTAGGAGAATGAAGAGCTGTCGCATGGATCTCCCCATACCTGCTGTTCTCAATCAGTGACAGTGATAGGCACGGTCCCTTCGCTCCCCCTCTGCAGGTACACTCAGTTACAGAATCTAAATGTGGGTCATGTGATTTTGTCACTGTGTCAGTCTGCCCTCCCAATTTAGAATGGCACCAAACCTAGCTATAGTTGAGGCTACTCAGCATGCCTGGATTTCTTTTGTCTTTGCAGTGTGAAGGTCATATGCAGAGTCTGTGTAGAGTGAATGTCCTCTGACTCTTTATGTAATTGCATGGGATAGTCTTACTGGGTACCTATTATAGCCAGGATGAAGGAGAAACAGTGAGAAAAAAGCTTGTGAGCAGGGAAGGAAGGCTGTGTCAAGTTCAGTGCTGCCGTCTATTGCTTTCAGTCCTCTTCTGAAACAAATCATGAGACTACAAGACACTTCTCAGCTAATAACCCCTTTCCCAGCCTAATTCACTTCTGAACTATGTGTAACAGTAATTCTGTGGATAAAAACAACACCTGCAGAAAAATCATTCTGGATCTCACTGATATTTTGCTGCTTTCCACTGTATACTTTAAATTTCTGATATTTTTTAGAAAAGCAAACAAAGCCTCTCATAGGGCCCAAACAAACTAACTGAGTAGCCACATTTAAAGTTATGCATGCATTTTAAAACCATTCTAAATCAGGAGCTGATATGCATGAATTAATTGCCTGCAATGATCACACAGATCATAGAACAGGATGGAATGACACCTCACAATAATCATGGTGCCCATCATGGGACACAAAATGCACGCGATGTGTCTCTGGCACGCCGGTACTGCTGAATCCCACATGCTGTCCTGACCTCAGATGGGGAAATACCATCTGGCATAGAAGCCCCACAGTTGGCACTGTAGACTGCAGGCTCCAGGTTCCTCTCTCTCCCTCCCTACTTCTCATCCTACCCCTTTGACAATTACAGAAACAGCAATCTTGCAGGAATGAAGTCAAGCTACAAGAATATTGAATGACTGAGTCAGAGACTAGGAATGAGGCTGGCAACTCCAGAGGCTGCTTGACATATACCATTGCCTAAAAGGAAAACTGTGACAAATCAGGTTCTCCTGTACCACTCACTAGACAATGAGATCCCCTCCCTGTTCTTCCCACTACATGCAGCATCATGTCACAGGTGTGCACTTCCCTGCTAAAATCCTCCCAGAAAACACCATACCTCAGGCAAGAATGCTTCCCCCTGCAAAGCCCCTGAGCACAACTTGCTATTCTTGGCTTGTTCTGACCTCCTTTAATTTCCTGACGTTGTTCTGGAACTAGGTGTTGGTCACGCCAGACCAGCCAAGCAGCAATCTTCTCATACCAGTGCTGATTTAGAAAGCCTTTGCTAAGCTCCGACACTGGGAATCTTTTACCATACTGAGATTAAGTCACAGACTTCCTTCCAGGGTAGGTGGCACCAGGAGCTGCCAGCTCCAAGCTAGGACACTAAACTGGGTGGGGCAGCACCCTAATATTACATAGGGCAACATAGACAGAGCCAATGGAATTACTAATATCAATAGTCTAATCATCTATAAAAGCAAATCAAGTGAATCATCTCCATATAATGATGGACTGCCTCACATGAATTAGATTTTTAAAGTGCTTCTAAATTACATGTTACAATTCAAGTTGCTTAGAGACATAAGCTCCGTTTGGGAGTGGTCCTCCTTCAGACCAATTTCATATTCTAGATGAACTACTGAATACCAAACTGTTTATTCCTGCAAATAGAATATTTGTCTATAGTTTTAAAACCAAATAATTGCAGAATAACACTATTATTCTGCTGCTGTGACAAATTTTTCAAACTAGATAGGAAATATGTAGTAAATATCTATACCTATAATGTTGGTTTTAAATAGAGCACTGCCAAGCAATTAGATCCACAAATGACAAAGCTGATGCAAAGCTCTGAATCTTTTTATTCACAGAGTGTTTGGTAAATTGCTTTATTTGCATTGGATGCAACACTAAAATCATTCAAACTGGTAACCAATCTGTTCCTGTTACTGCACACCTGAAAGCATTACAGCAAATCTGTCTTATTACAGCCAAATGACAAATACCAGGAAAACTGTTGCCAAGACTGCCTGATTTGTCTGTGTTGAGGCCTGTGGATCCCACCTGCTCTGTGCAATGCCACTGTGTATATTATGTTGCAGCACAGGCTAAGCACAGCTTGGAACACTGACAGGCAACATATGACATCCAATATGAATTCCCCTCACTTAATTAACATCATGTATGTTCTTTGACACACAATAAATTATATTTTTAAAATTTAGAAATTTAGCTTTGATTTCTTTTTGGCCATTCATGTGTGCCATTCTGAAGAAGTAACAAGATTATAGTACTCACAGTGCTCAACCGTGACATTTGAAATGTCTAAACCTCACGCCAAATTATTTTCTGCATATCCAAAGTGCTTACATATCCTCATGCTCATGGTGTTTCTTATCTCCTGACATTTCAGTGTTCATTTCAGATTAGCTTTTTAAAGGCATAAAGACTACAAGGACATGTTTCTGTGTGTTCTGTAACATATTTCTATTCAGTTCAGAGTTTTATTTCTGATACCATACACATAGCCTTTGCTCACTGAAAGCAAATAGCCATGCAAATGTGAAGGAAGAAGAAATTTGAAAGGAAAAATAGTAATTTGCAACTCTTGAACAGATGAAAACATTGATAAACCATCTATCTTGGGGAACACCTGCTTTTATTTATGCATAATCAAATTCCAAAGCCAACAGTTGGTAACAACAGATCTCTCTCCCCACTAGCAAATGTGTATCCAGAGGTGACCAATGAAGTTCACAGGTACATGCAATGAAGCAGGTCATGATCCAGGGTAACCCTACCTTTATTTTACTGGTCTCAGTGCTTTAAGACTCCTTGCCCTGTGTCCCAGCTATCCATGCCTGACTTTGATCCACAATGCTTTACAATGAGGTATGTCTTTTTATGAATTGGTTCTTTATTTAAACCTATGAAAATGAGATGTGAAAGTGTGTTGCAAGTGTGCTTTCCCCTCAGAAATGTGTCTCACAGCGCTTGCTAATGTGCAGATTGCATGCTGTAAATCCACCATCATTAGCCGTCCAATCCAATCCCAGAGAGGGAATGGATTCCTTAAAAAGGAGTGAGCAGGACAATGCAGGGTATTAATTTTATGTACCAATATGCATTGGTATGTACCAATATGCATTCTAACTTCATGCACCAGTATGCATTTCCTTATCTGTGATTCAGAGCCTCTGGATGAGCTCAGAGCTAATGGTGACTGAAAATCAGTGGAATAGTCTTTATAGGTCCACTTGAGACAAATATTGATGGAAATGGAGGCCACAATTACATAGTGAAGATGTACATTCATGTGTGTTGTGATTAAAGAGGAATAAAGTGGTCTAGCACAAAACTCACAGTACTAACAGAATGGAGAAGTATAATGTGACCTTTCTTATAAGATATTGTTCTTGCATTAAGGAGATGAGTGACTTCTAAATATAGCCGTGTTTTGCAGCAAGACTACTTAACTGGAGTGGCAATGCTATTTCATCTAAAAATAAAGCAATGATTCTCCCTCAAAATACCTAAAGCCTGTACCTGTGGTTTCACAAGCACCTGAAGGCAATCTAAGTTTGCACAGTCATGAAAAGCAGCTGTCCTGTCCTCTCCTCCCTCTCTGTCTGTAAGGATCTGCTCTTCCCTTGCCAGGCACTAATGCTGTAACACACCATGCCATCACACAGATGTTCCCTGACATCTGGCCAGCTCAGAGAACACTCAAACTCAGTGACCATTTGTACAGAGATAGAATTTAGGTTTGATATGAATGAGGTTTGAGTGAGTCTGGAATCCAGAAATCCATTTTCATGCTTAAGTTCCTAACACAGTGCATGCCTGCACACCTCAAAATGAAATTCAAAGCAACTAGTGAGCTGATCAGGAAGTTACCTGAAGCCACTGTATTGTCTTAAGTACTTCCCTACAG